TGAGCAGTTAGCTCGGTACGAGGCCACAAGAGGAAGTTGTTCCAACCCAAGAGGCTCAGTGCGCTCCGCTATCGTCCTATGCACTCGGGTAGCAAATGAATGAAACCGACCGCAAAGGCTGTTACGATGAGCATGTGGACACCCAACTACATGAGACAACAGGATAGGAACCAGGGTCGAAACAAGTTTCCGCTTAACGAATGTCTCCTTTCTTGTGCCAGTAAACAAAAAAGAGCCCTCAGAACTGCGACTTCATAGAATATTCTTAATTCTATAATGGTGAAGAAACAGAAGCAAGTGCAAGACGAACAACACACTCTCATGAATAAGATTAGGGGCAGTTACTGAAGCTCAAGGAAGTTCGGGAAACAACGGCCAGCCAATGTTTGTATAGGCTACGTTTAAATTCCTCCAAAGATTCGCAAGCTAATAGAGCGAAGGAAGTTTATTCTAAACAGGCAAAACCCGGTTTGTAAAGAACCTGGCTCTTAACTCCAGCTTTACTTTACTGTCATGATAGCGAGAAAGATGTTGAACATCTATGTAGCTATATCTCAATGTAGGACATGTCCCACTGACACAGTGTTACCTGTAGTAGTGAGCTAGCCCAGGTGAAAAAAGCAAAATATTTACAAGCATAGAAAAAATCTCCATGTACTTACGATATATTCTTGGATGAACCACATGGAGTCCTTCACCAGCTCCGCCGCCTATTACGGATGGGCATTGTTTCGGAAGCTGCAGTTGGTGGATTAACGGGCTCCATGGGTTATAATCATTGAACGATTCCTTCGTCAGTTTCCTGTGAAGGCTTCGTCGAATCTGGCATCCGCAAAGTGCGCGTCCAGGAATCGTTTGAATTCCGACACCGAGTTCGCTTCTACTATCCGCGAGGGCAAACGGTTCCACATGTTCACCACTCGCCGCTCAAGACACAAGGGATGAGCTACCCACTTGAGGTCAGGGACTACCAGTTTGTACTGGTGACCTCGTGTGCTGCTTGACGCACGGACATGGAGCAGTGGCCTCAGCATCGGATAAGCACCCAGATGCAATACCCGATGGGTCATGATGAGGTCCACTCGCACGCGGCGGTAGGCTAGAGTATACAGACCCAATTGTCTGCATCTTTCTTCATACGGCACACCCTGAAGACCGGGAATGAGCCGTGTGGCTATGTGTTGTACTCTTTCGAGCTTGTGTATCTCGCCTTTCGTCAACGGACAGTAGGCGGGTGAGCCGTATTCTAGCACCGGTCGTACAATGGATGTGAAGAGACGAGTGGCAATCTCTTCCGACCAGGTGCAGAAGCTACGTTTCAGCGCCCACAGCGAACGCAATGCTATGCGATATGTATTGTCCGTGTTGTCCAGTGACTTCATGTCGTAACGTTGTATAACGCCAAGGTCTCTGACGCAATGCATCGGGTGTAGAACTTGGCCGTCGAGAGTGTACGATCGGCCCGCTCCACCTTTACCGAGGCACAGAAGTAGCGACTTTGCCGAGTTGATAGGTAAACTTACTTCGGCGGACCACATGGAGAGGCGGTCGAGGTCCTGCTGAAGTATGTCAAAGTCGTCCGACGTATGGATCACCCTCCATAGCTTCAGGTCATCCGCGAACAAGGCACACGGCGACCGAAAGAGATTGGGCATGTCGCTGATGTGAATCAGGAAGAGAATGGGGCCAAGTACCGTCCCCTGAGGAACGCCGCTCGTCGACGGGTACCAGTCGGTCAGGTGGCTGTCGATTTGCACCCTCCACTTCCGTCCAACTAAGAAGTCACGGATCCATTGGTGCAGCGAGCCTCCGACTCCGCACTCCCTCAGTTTCTGAAGGAGGATCTCGTGATTCACTCTGTCGAAGGCCTTACTGAAATCGACGTATACCACGTCGACTGACTTACGTTGGTTTACTGCTTGCAACCATTCATGCCATGTTAGCATCAGGTTAGTGATGCACGAGCGGCCTCTCACGAAACCATGCTGTGCAGGCGTCAGGAGAGAGTTGGTCTCCAGTAGCTGGAGCAGTCGCTTCTTCACAATCTTCTCCAGAACTTTCGACAATACTGCGGTCAAACAAATAGGGCGGTAATTCTCCACTTTGCGTGTGTCACCGCCTTTTGGAATCGGTTTGACAACGGCGCATTTCCAGTCACAAGGCACGCAGCCTATGGACAGGGATCGGTTGAACAGGTCGGTTACAGCAGGTGAGATCACAGCTGACAAGGACTTGAGGATCAGCGGATGGAGACCATCCGGTCCAGCTGGCTTCGTGCTGTCTAGGCAGCTGACTAGCCCATGTACCTCCGCGACGTCGCAGATCAAGTCAGTTAGCTCAGTCGGTGCGGCGACGGCAGAGCTTGGCGCGCAGGTTTGGTTAGTTGCGAATACAGAAGCGAAGTGCGCCGCTAATGCGGACGCACGCTCGGTGCTTGAACTTAGTGGTTGTCCATTCGAACCCACTAGCACCGGCACATTACCTGCAGACTTCAGGCGTCGCTTCACGTACGCAAATATGCGCTTCGGGGCAGTTTTAGCTGACCAAGCAAGCTGCTCCTCAAACTGACGGCGTTTTCGCGTCTTTGTGCTGTTGCACAAGTTTCGTTGTCGCTTGTATGCCTCATAGTCATCGGCAGAGCCAGACAGGAGGAACGCATTCCATAGTCGACGCCGTTGTCGAGACAGTCGGTTATACTCTTTGTCAAACCAATGGGGTTTCATTGGTCCAACTTTTCGAGTCTTGAAGGGTACAAATTGCGCACACAATGAGTGCACTGCCCCTTTAATGTTTGCCCAGCAAGTTTCAACGGATGAATCCTGTGGCATAGACCAATCAAGCTGATTGGCAGCTAGAATGAGGCCATCGAAGTCAGCTTTCCAATAGTTGTATGTTGGTGCCACTGGACGCACACATGGAAGCTGCAGGTCTATAGTGGCCATAATTGTCGAGTGATCACTGGCCGGCATGGGCTCAAGAACTTCTATGTCATGCACTGTTTGTTCGCAGCTGGTTAGCAGCAGGTCCAGGCATGATGGCATTGAGCGCGGGGTTATGCGGGTGGGTTGCGTGATGTGCTGCACCGTTCCGGTTTCCAGTACCAGTTCGGCGAATCTTGTCTCCACTTCATTATGGCCAGGGAGAAGCTGAACTTCAGGCCATAAGATTCGAGGAAGGTTAAAGTCGCCAGTGAGCAGGAACTGCGGGCGACTCATTTGGTTTTGGATGTGTGTGAGCCAATCCAATCCGTTACTCAGTGGGCTACGATATGCCACACCCACAAGCAGTTCGCCGCGTCGTAGGTGGATCGAACACCACAGCTGCTCACATAGACCGTCAATCCTTCGGTAGGTGCTCACGAGTCTCCCGCACAGGGTAGACCGGAGATAAAGTAGGACGCCACCGCGGCTATTCGACTGTCGATCACAGCGGAAGCACGAATAGTCCGTGATCGCAATTTCTTCGCTTGTCACTTCAGATGTCAACCACGTCTCAGCCAAACCAACCACATCTGGCCGACGTGAAGCAATGAAGCGGATCAGATCATCGTGCTTGTTCACTAAGCTGCATACATTAATGAACGCTACACGCAATCCGCGGTAGGAACCGCTGGGCGAGCTTGAAGCGTCATTGCTCTGTTTACCCGGATTCGGGGTATCCGAGCAACTGTGCGAAAATTTACGATACGCAGGTTAGTTTCACCGGCGTCCGTGCGTCGTTTCAGTTCGATCACGGCAGACTTCAGCTGCTCTCGTTCTGCGGGATCAAGGTCTGGCCGGACATGGATTTTCATCCCCTTTAGGCGACCGAGGCGGGACAGTACTAACCTTGGGGCAGTTTCGTCGGCGAACGCGATGCGCAGAGGCCGACACTTGCCATCAACTTGTTTCACTCGTAACCCGGGTTCGCCAACATTCAGTAGTTCGTCGGTTAGAGACTGCAAGAATTGCACATCATGGTCATAGCGTACCTGGGGACTGGGATCAGTCGACTCAGGTGCGTGGAAAATCATGACGTTGCATAGCCGTCCCCGTGGTGACTTGCTATCGTTTGGCTTCACCGGTTTCGGTAACGCCGGTTTCTCGGCTAGCAATTTCTCAAGTCGTGTTACCTAGATCTATGCTACTTCAATTTCATGCAATGGCCCCGCAAGTTGTCTGACGTAGCTTTTTCTAATGGATCGGTTGGCCTGAGATCACAGACCTTTCATAATTTTGAACGTCCCTATTAAGTCACCTCTCAAGCTGCGTCTTCGCATTGAGAACAAACCCAAGATAGTTAACCGATCTTCATACGGGAACCCGCGCTGGCCTACTATCATTCGTGTGGCTAGTCTTTGCACCTTAAAAATACAAACAAGATCTTTCTGCAAGTAGGGTGCCTATGCCTGAAAACAATATTCCAGGTGTGATCTGACCACAGCTTTGAACAAGGGAAGAAAGACCGATGGCTTGGTACAACTCAGAACTCTCCTGAGACGAAATAACTTCTGCCGCGCTTTATTAGCCGCATTCCTGCACTGCGCCGAAGGCTTAAAGTCACTAGTCACGATGACACCTAGATCATGCGCCTCGATGAAATGCTGCAGTAAATTATTTTTTAATGCGCATACTACAGCCACGTGAGGACTACCAGGCCGCTGCGAAACAGTTGCCCGTAATACTGAATTGAAGATGGCTGGGCTAACATGGAAGCGCCCACTCGGCTTCTGCAGCTCAATGAGCTAAATTATGTTCAGGACGATAAAGGGTGTAGAAACCTAGAGGCAGTATTCTAGCTGGAGCCAAATGAATGTTAAAAACGGTTACACAAAGACAGCGGCCGTCAAGTGTTCAAGTGCTTTAAACCTGTTTAGTCAACCATCCCGACAATTGCACAGCCATACATAAGTAGTCAAGGGAGGTCAAATATGAAATAAACTGCGCGGAGCGTGGAACGCCGTGACAGAAAAGACGGAGAGAAATAGATCAAATGACAACGTTGCACGTCGGGAGTCTTACCTGGATCGCCGTGGTCTAGAATCGCCAATATCTAGCCGATGACGGGACGACATGTTGCAGCGGATCTTTGAACCACCGAAGGATCCAATAACGGCAGCGCGTCACCGGTCGGTACTACAAAACCGCCATTAGTATTAGTGTACGAGTGCAAGGTCTATCTGTAATACGCACTCTATTCCAAATAAGCACATTTACCATTACGCATAAGAATGAAATGACCTAAAAAATTGCCCCAGTCAGATTTGGTCAGGTTCCAAGGTCGATACCGACCTCCGCCTAACGAGCGTCCTGTTTCCTGCACCGGTAAGCGGACAAGAGACCCCGGTAATTCGAATTCCTTTGAACTTCCGCAGCTTCTACTAGAGATTGAAGCAAAAACATAAGTGCTTTCTGTGCTGTCACACGGTGCGTGCTTTCAGTAACATGCTACAAAAAATTATAATACTTCTGGAAATAGTTCAGATCAACTGTACATTAACGACCTGCCGACTGCATTTTAAACCGACTGCTTGATATACGTCGACGAACAAAAGTTATGGTCAGCAGTGTCCAACCTTTGATACAGTCCCACATCAACGACTCTCATTGAACTTGAGATCGTATGGGATATCTGGGGCCGCCCTTAAGTGGGTCTCTGCTTTCCTAGAGGGGCGAGAACAGTAGGTGCGCGTGAGAGGTAATCTTACAATTAAGCAAGCTCTTCTTGGTGGCTTTCCGCAGGGCTCGTTTCTAGGACCTGTGCTGTTCACAATTTTTGCCCATGATCTACCCCAGGAGCTTGTAGTACTGTGGCTATTGTATGCCGTTGTCCTCAACCTCTGGAATATTTTGCATATCCCTGGTGGCTCTGAGGCACTTCAGGTTGCCTTGGATAGGCTCTGGGATTGGTCAACCTTGTAATTGATGCATATAAATCAAGCAAATTGGTCCGTTCTCCGCATTGGAGGTGCTATTCCCCCCACGCGCTTTGTAGTTGGTGGAAGTGCGCTCCCTGTTGTCATTCAGCAGGTTGATCTAGGTATCATGCACACCACATTGCTTCACGCTGGGGACACTTGGAGGAAGGCTGCTTGTAAAGGGTTCCGCATGGTGTGGTTTATTCACTGCTCCTTCGGTGTCCTAAGCGCCAATAACTTGGTGAATCTGTCCTCAGCTTTAATGCGACCCCAATTTAAGTACTGTATCCAGGCTCGTTCATTTCGTCTTGCAAGGGACAATATGGGGCGTCATAGGTTTATGCGAGTGGGTACAAGCTTAGTGCAATGATCACGGGGCAAACGTATCCCGAACGTTTGCTTATCTTGTGTATGTACTTAATGCTCTCCCGCAAAGTTAGAGGAAACTTGATCCTTAATTAACGTATATTAACGGCTGAGTTTGGTGCAGACTTGTCCTAGCTATTTAGTCCTGCCAAGCTGCATAGGCCCCGAGGTCACCGGTTGCGACTGCACAAACAGCTGTCTGACCGGATAAAGATGGAAACTTGCTTGTCGCGCTGAGTTATTGGAGGTTGGGACCCGCTTCCGGAACACGTCGTCACGGAGTCTACGTTTGAGGGTTTCAAATGTCAGTTAGATGCGTTTAGGTGGAAGTAGCGAAGCTTACTCTTCTCCTAACCGACTTCTATCTTCAACTTTCCTTTCGTTTCTTAATTTCTACTCACCCCTTGTTATTATCATTATGTAGCTGACGATCCTCCTCTGGTTTTCTTAACTTACTCTTCACTCTCATTTCACGTAAACCGATCTGGCAGTGACTGCTGGGCAGGAAACTGCGGGCAGTAATTGGTTGAACACGGGGTGATGCCATCTATGTTTTAGGCTTCCTAATATCTTAAGCACAACTATCAATTCCCGATCCGACGATACGCAAAAGAAGGAACATTCACGGGATTATCCTATATTTCCAGTACTAACCCACTTGAACTTGAGAATACTGACAGGTTACAAGCGGCTCTAGACCAGGTACCTGATTGGTCTCTCAAGTTGGCATTGCCAGTATACCGAGATAAATGTGCTGTTCTCCCAATGGGTTGCGCTGAACTGTACAGTGCGTGCCACATCGGTGAGTTTCTCCTTTAGGAATACCACTCCGAATGGAGGTCGAGGGGTTATCGCGCCTTCTGAACTTACAACAACACAAGACACTTTGAAGAAAGTGGCCAGTGTAAAGAGGCTGGTGGGTGCCAGAAGATCATTAGCTTATTTGAACCCAGAGGTTTCCCGATCTTTGTCCACTTCGCAGTCCGTCCAGTCTTAGGATATACCTAACCGCTATCCATCCGCTTTCAAACTTTGACTGCGCTCTGCTGGAAAAGGTTCAAATAACTGCATCGAAAGCTATTCTGAAGATTCGTAATCTCCCGTACCCAATTCGGCTCCAGTAGATAAAACTTTCTCCCTCGAACTCCGCCGCCGCCGGAGTGATCTCACCTACACCAGGTGCATATTCCGAGGGGAACTTGGAAGTGAGTTAAACAAGTCTTACGACCCAACACTAACTGTTCCACACGAGGTCACACAAGAAAAGTTTAAACACAGCAGACGGAATTAGCATAGATGTCACCCCATCCAAAAGCGTGATGGTTGCTTAGAATAGCCTACCCCTAAGAAATTGCAGTCTCTCCAGCCGAGGCGAGTATTAAGTGGCTGCCAGACAAACTTTCTCTGCGGATGTTGAAATCTTTCATATGGCCTTGTTATTGCGCTGAACCCTCGCGGAACGTCGCAATGCAACGACACGCACCAAACTCAGTATAATGTGGAATCTATGGGGCTGACAAAGGATTTCCCTCCTGCGCTCTGCAACTCTATGCACTCACTGAAAAATGAACACCTATCTAGCGCTCGTTTTAAAGGCCTCTATTATGCTGCACTCGAGTAATGTTGTAGATAGCTTATTCCGGACATTGTCTACACAATTCGCGAAGAATTTCGCCCCCTATCCAGCCTAGTTCACAGGTGCTTAAACACCAGTTGAAGTCCTCGCAGGTGATCTGACTAAACTAAAGTAAACAGTTCAGTATACTGGAAAACACCAAAAACCTTCATGATGTTAAAGACCTCTATTATATCCCCTCTTCCTCTGCGCCGTTCCATTGAATACATACCTAAGCTCCTTAGGATTTCAGCCCACGGTTTGTCACTTGGACCTTCAATTATCCTAATTGCAAGTTTTTATACTTTTGCTATACGGGCGACGTCTTTCCGGTGGAATGATGCCCAAGCCTGTACAAAGCAGTCTAGATGAGTACTTATCACCGATTTGTAAAAAGCAACAAAAACATGAGCTCTAGTGCTGCATAAATGTCTTCTGTGAGGAAACAATTCCTTCCTCGCATTGTGAGCAGCAGGCTTACTTTGCACTGAAGGTTTGAAGTCTTTCAAACATATGATGCCAAAATCTCATGCTTCATCTACACGACGCAGACCTTGATGTTCGACGGATGTTAGCGTTTTTATTTCTTCAGTTTGAGAGAACGGTAACTGGTATTTGCTGGCGTTTAAGTGCAAGTCACAGTTAACCGACAACTCCACTACAGTGCAAAAGTCCTTGGAAAATATGCCTCGATTACCACTGGTGGATCTTGGGATTACCTGAAAGAATAAAACAGTTGTAACATATCAAGTAAACGTATATAAGCAACGGAAACATTTCCATGGGGAACAGTAAAGCTAAGGTCAAAAATGAATAAGAAATGAAATTTTAAAACGTATTGCAGCACTTAGTTTAAATTTACCTAAATGTAATAAATCCAAGTGTATTATTAGCAGAAACAACAATTGTTTTAATTTTGTTATGCTGACGTAATATTATAGGAACGCATATGTATCAAAAGCAATACCAAGGAAAACGTGGTGTTGTCGCGCGCTGAATTAAAAAGGGATAGAATTTGCTCTGTGCAGCATTGACTGTCTGTTACACAAAATATATCATCCACATATCGACCATAGTAGGGTACTACGCCAATGACTCCGCTCAGGTAGTTCTTTTCTAATTTGCTCGTGAATACATCTGCCAGCAGCGGTCCTAGCGGTGAGCCCATTACTAATCCGTCTTTTGGTCCGTATATTACCCCATTAGACTAGAATTGTATGTTGCTAGTGCACAGCATGATTAGCTGTTTCAACCGATTGTTCGACAGGCCGACGTTCAACTGTTGGGCTCGAATGGTGTCGCACAAATAGTTTATTGTTTCTTCCAAAGAAACATTCGTGAAGAATGACACAACGTCTAACGAAAACATCTTTCTTCCGGTTAGGTTAAGATGTTTTATACTCTCTGAAAAGCTGAATGTATCACGGAGGCTATACCCGGATAAAACTTTTCTCACTGGCTCTAAAAGCTTGGCTAGCCACTTGGCTGTTGCGTGGTAAGGTGAGTTGCACATGTCTAAGTAGCACAGGTCTAAGTGGCAGCCCCTCCTTATGTACCTTTGGCAGGCCATAAAGTCTCGGAATTACCGTCCCCGTGGGTCGAAGTTGTTCGAACGTGGTAGAGTCAATCGAGTTTTCTTGTTTCAGGTGTCACAGAAGCATAGTGACTGTCTTTTCTATTGCCGCTGTTTTATCCCTCTCATTCTCCATTTTTAGAAACTTTGCGCGATCGCTGAGGATGACCACCATCGTGTCAATACAGTCAGATTTCTCCATCAGAACGATCCCTGCCCCTTTATCTGGCCTAGAGCTTAACACATTCTCGCTTTGTTTGAGTGCAACACCATTCGAGCATAACAGTTGTACGTCGGCCTGTCGATCAATCTTCTCTATTTCTTATCCACCTTTACCATTTATATAAATCGTGCTTGCCTAGCTTGTTGCTTATTGACTGTCGCCTTTGATTCGTATTGCCTGGCATATCTCTCCCCCTACGTGACCGCCTTGTGACCATTTAAATAAATAAACAAATAAATAAATAGTATATTCTCGGTAAAACGAGACACACCTGTAAAGGCGTGATCAAATATGCATAAAGTATAGCTTCTTTGGAATGTCAAAACATTTCGTCTTAATGAAAGGTATAAAAGAAAAGATGTTGTCCGTATGAGTCAGCATACTGTCAGGTAATAGTCAGACCAAGAGACATTATGGCGCTGTGGCGCGCAAAACTCCGTCAAAACACAAGTTGGGGGTA